GGAGGATCACTAGTGCTCCCAAATTGGAAGCCAGCCTGGGCAACACATCAAGACCTCATCTCTAAAAAAGTAAAGAAAAGGAAGCAGTATATATTTTAGTCCACGTTCTGCTGCCGTAACAAATAGCACAGACTGGGCAATTTATAAAGAACACAGTTATCTGCCTCAGCAGAGCCTGCCAAGGCCATCAAGAAGGTGAGGGCTTCTTGCTGTGTCACCCCAGGGCAGAATATGAAGCAGCAGGCAAGGCAGAGGGAGGACACTGAGCAAACACTATTTCCATCCGGAACCCACTCCTGTGGTAAGAAACCTACGACATCGTCCATTCACGAGGGCGGAGACAAGTCACCTCCCAAAGGACTCACTTCTTTTATTTTTTATTTTTATTTTTAGAGAAGGAGATGGAGTCTTGCCCTGTCACCCAGGCTGGAGTACAATGGCATGATCTTGGCTCACTGTGACATCTACCTCCCGGGTTCAAGGGGTTCTCCTGCCTCAGCCTCCCAAGTAGCTGAGCATATGCCACCACACCCAGCTAATTTTTTCCATTTTTTAGTAGAGATGGGGTTTCGCTATATGTTGACCAGGCTGGTCTCCTGATCTCAAGTGATCCGCCCGCCTCCCGCCTCCTCGCCTCGGCCTCCCAAAGTGCTAGAATTACAGGCTGGGCCACCCTGGCCAGGCCTCACCTCTTAGAGTAGTTACTGTTTAGTATTAAGTATCACAATCAATCAAATCGCAACATGAGTTTTAGAAAGAACACTGAAACCATAGCAGGCAGCCAGCAGGGCGAAGAGTGGAAACACTCCAGGACGTTTTCAAAGCACAACAGGAGACAGGGCAGAGCCACCCTCAGTCCAAGGTGGGCTGTGCGGGGCCACAGCCTCGAGCCCCCAGCAGGCCAGGCCTTGAAGCTCAGGCACCGAGGTGAGGATGGGTACTTGGAGCTCAGCAGGCTCCTCCATGATGTGGGTGCAGCAGCCAGGGGTCTCCCCATGCTGAGGAGGGTGGCTGCCGTGAAGGGTGCCCAGGAGACATGAAGCCTGTCCAGGGCCTCTGGGTCCCATGGCAGCCTTGCAAGCCAGAGGGGACCTCCACCCAAGGCCTCCTTCTGTGCTAAGAGCAGAGTTCCTGGAGTTGGAAAGTCCTGCCCCGAAAGCCCATGGAGAGACCCAGTCAGGGCAAAGCCCACGGAAAGCCCAGGCCCACCCCATCCAGAGACACTCCCACCAGCTCCTGCTTCTAAGTCCCTCAGTCACTGTCACAAATAGAGAGCGGCACACGTGAGGAAGTCACAAGAAGATGCCCACACAGAGGACAGCACAAGGGGTGGTAGGGGCATGAGGACACACGGGGCACAAGAGAACTGACAGAAACCAAGTCGTGGCTTTAAGAGGGCCCAGGACCTCATGGCCTGAGCCAGTTTCTGCTCAGGACTCCACGAGACTCCGTGGCCCTTCCGTCCCACACTCCCAGACAGAGCCCCCCAACCAGACCTCCCCCACAAGCCCAGCTGTGTCCTGCTAATCCTGGCATACAAAGGGGTGCCCTGCAAGGGTGCAGCAGGAGGGTCCTAAGAAGGCCAGTACCTTTCACCCAGTGTCACTGCTGTGCTCGATGGCAGATGGGGGGCCTCCAGGTGGGCCTGATCTAACCCCACGCACTGCTGAAAAGCAGTTTCCTTCGGGTGGTGAAAGAAGGAGCATCAGAAACTGGGTCCAGGTGCCTCTGCTGGCTGTGAGGATGAAGTGCCACATGGAAGAGCATGGAGAACGGACCCCAGCTGACAGCCAGCAAGAAAACGGCCCTCAGTCCCATGACTGCAGGGACTGGCCCAACCCCCAGAAGCCCGGTGCCTCGAGACAGGAGCCCAGCTGGCCAGCGCACCCCGACTCGGCCCCCGAGCTCCTAAGCTCAGGGCATTTGACCTGCAGAACTGTGAGCTATGACCAGGCAGTTTATGCCTGCACAGAACACTCACAGCAGGGTTAGAGGGCAGAACCGCGGTCTCCAGGGCAGCAGCCAAGATCACCCGAGGAGCCTCTCCTCCGGGTGCAGGTTCTCAGCTCCTCACCACAAAACTACCTGCCAGAGGTCAACAGGTGGGCCCAGGAGCCTCTTCTGTTTAATGTTTCATTAGAGAAAATCTCAGACGCTCTCAGGCATGGCACCTGCTCCCAGAGCCCCAGACGCCACACACACACAAGTCCAGCTGCCGGAAAAGGCCGCTGCAACCTTACACCACCAGGTACAGACAACTCGCCTGACCCAAAGACTAGCTTTACCTTCTGTGTCTTTCACCAATCCCAGCGTGCCAGCTCCCCAGCGCTTTGCTTTACTAGGGCCAATGCATTTTGTTTCAAAACAACAGGTAACATTTCTCTTTCCAATAAACCCCTAGCACGCTCTTTGTTTTGGTAACCAAAGACCACCCTGGTCTGTGTGTATGCCCTGAACTGCAATTCTGTTTTCCCAAATAAAACATTTTGTTTAGAGATTCATCTATGTATATATGTATTTTTTGAGACGGAGTCTTGCTCTGTCACCCAGGTTGGAGGGCAGTGGCGCAACTTCAGCTCACTGAAACCTCCACCGCCTGGGCTCAAGTGATTCTCCTGCCTCAGCCTCCTGAGTAGCTGGGATTACAGGCGCACATCGTCACGCTCAGCTAATTTTTGTATTTTTAGTAGAGACAGGGTTTCACCATGTTGGCCAGGCTGGTCTCGAACTCCTGACCTCAGGTGATCTGCCCGCCTCAGCCTCCTAAAGTGTTGGGATTACAGGTGTGAGTCACCGCACTGGCGTCATCTGTGTATTTTCATTTGACTTTGACAAGTATTAATAACTCCCACAAGCCCATTACACCAACTCAAAACTTACCAGCTGACATCCCATCTCTTTCCACTGAGTGCCCACCCTGTCCTCTCCCGACTGGGTTCTTCCCAGCAACTCCAACAGAGCATTTCCAAATGTCAGCCTGCAGACATTTCCAATCATCTCCAAAGATGAGAAGTCTTCCTTAAAGACCACACCATGGCTGGCTTCAGTAGCACATAGGCTAAAACCAGAACAATACAGAGAAGGTTGGCATGGCCCCGGTACGAGGATGACTGCGAATTCGTTGTGTTCCATTAAAAAAAATTAAAGAACACAACCACTATACACTATCGAACTTTATTTCATTTCATATTTTAAGACTGAGTCTTGTTCTGTTGCCCAGACTGGAGTGCAGTGGCACAATCTTGGCCTCAGCCTCCTGTGTAGCTGGGATTACAAGCGCCCACCACCGTGCACCAGCTAATTTTTATATTTTTAGTAGAGATGAGGTTTCACCATGTTATCCAGGCTGGTCTCAAACTCCTGACCTCAAGCGATCTGCCCGACAAGGCCTCCCAAAGTGCTGGGATTACAGGCATGAGCCACTGCACCTGGCCCACTATCACACTTTAACAACCAAATTCCTTTGTGAGGCTGAGGCAGGTGGATCACAAGGTCAGGAGTTCAAGACCACCCTGACCAAAATGGTGAAACCCCATCTCTACTACAAATACGAAAATTAGCCAGGCGTGGTGGCACACACCTGTAATCCCAGCTACTCAAGAGGCTGAGGCAGGAGAATCGCCTGAACCCAGGAGGTAGAGGTTGCAGTGAGCCAAGATCACATCAATGCACTCCAGCCTAGGCAACAGAGCGAGACTCTGTCTCAAAAAAAAAAAAAACAAACAAACAAACAACCAAATTCCTTATTATCGACTATCCACAGTGTGCTCAAATTCCCCAGCTGTCCCACCACTTAAAACAATCTTTCTGTAAATCAGAACTGAAACAAAGTCCAATGCATTTGAATAGACTCTTGGGTTCTCTTTTTATTTTTAATATAATCTACTTTAATTTCGATTTTTAGAAAACTTAGTATTTTGGAAAATTGCAGGCATAATTGCAGGAAAATCTGCAGCAGGATTAGAAGCACTCCCTACTGACAGAGACCGTCCTTGACCAAACTTGAGTCTGGCTCCTGAGTCCTCCTCCTTGGCAAGGCCTGACCTTGGTCTAAACCTTGACCTACTTCATCCAGTTTCAGCAAGACTCCGCTGGTCGGCTCAGGGAAAACCCCAACTCGTGGCATCTGAGCTCCCTCAACATGGGGTTAACTCCTCCTCCGCCTACGCTACAGCTCATCACCCTGGCCTGCCTTCAGCAAGACCTTCCACCCCATGTCTCCTCAAGGGAATTTTCCAACTGCTTCTCACTGACATCGCCACGTGTCCTTGTTGCATTTGGGGTTGAGCTCAATCTCTCTCCCCTACTGCAGAACCCCATTACAGCAGCGTCTCTTGTAGAAGTCAGCCTTACCATCTTCAACAAGTGTCATAGACACTTCTCAGCCAGGCACAGTAGCTCGCTCCTGTAATCCCAGCACTTTGGGAGGCCTGAGGTCAGGAGTTTGAGACCAGCCTCGACAATATGGCGAAACCCCATCTCTACTAAAAGTACCAAAAAAAAAAAAAATGAGCTGGGCATGGTGGCACACACCTGGAATCCCAGCTACTTGGGAGGCTGAGGCAGGAGAATCACTTGAACCTGGGAGATTGAGGTTGCAGTGAGCCAAGATCAGGTCACTGCACTGCACGCCGGCCTGGGGGACAAGAGCAAAACTTGATCTAAAACAAACACACAAAAAACTTCTTTAACACCAGGCATCTATCACCCAGTCTTAGTCTTAAGGTTCTTTTAGCCCAGCCAGGCACAGTGGTTCACACCTGTAATCACAGCACGTTGGGAGGGCGAGGCAGGCTGATCACAAGGTCAGGAGATTGAGACCAGTCTGGCCAACTCAGTGAAACCCCGTCTGTACTAAAAATACAAAAAATTAGCCAGATGTGGTGGTACGCACCTGTAGTCCCAGGTGCTCAGGAGGCTGAGGCAGGAGAATCACTTGAACCCAGGAGGCGGAGGTTGCACTGAGCCGAGATCGTGACACTGCACTCCAGCCTGGGCAACAAAAATTTTTTTAACACACAGAAAGCACCCAGACTTTTCAAACTACAGGTAACACTAAACAGCTAGGTATACAAGGACACTTCCTTAACCTAATAAAAGACTGCATATTCAATGGTCAAAAACAGGAAGCTTCCCTCTAAAATCAAGAATAAGACAAGGATGTCCACTCTCACCACCACCATTCAACATCATACCGGAGGCTCTAACCAGAACAAACAAGTGAGCAGATGAAACAAGGCATCCGGAGCAGAAAGAAAGAAGTACATTATGATCTCTATTTGCGGTTGACACGATCCTGTATATAGAAAATCCCAGGCCAGGTGCTGCAGCTCACGCCTATAATCCCAGCACTTTGGGAGGCTGAGGCAGGTGGATCACCCGAGGTCAGGAGTTCGAGACCATCCTGGCCAACGTGGCAGAACTCCGCCTCTACTTTAAAAAATACAAAAATTAGCTGGGCATAGTGCCACACACCTGGAATCCCAGCTATTTGGGAGGCTGAGGTGGGAGAATCGCTTGAACCTGGGAGGCAAAGGTTGTAGTGAGCCAAGATTGTACCACTACACTCCAGCCTGGATGACAGAGTGAGACTGTCTCAAAAAAAAAAAAAAAAGTCTTAAAGAATCCACAAAAACGATTAGAGTAAATAGATAAATTTAGCACAGTTGCAGAATATAAGGTCAATATGCAAACATCAGATATATTTCTAACCAGCAGATACAAGCAAACTGAAAATGAATTTAAGAAAACAATTCTGGGCTGGGCACAGTGGCTCATGCCTGTAATCTCAGTACTTTGGGGGGCTGAGGCGGGCAGATCAGAAGTTCAGGAGATCGAGACCATCCCAGCTAACTCAGTGAAACCCGTCTCTACCAAAAATACAAAAAAATTAGTTGAGCCTAGTGGCACGCATCTGTAATCCCAGCTTATCGGGAGGCTGAGGCAGGAGAATTGCTTGAACCCAGGAGGTGGAGGTTGCATTAAGCCAAGATCGCACCACTGCACTCCAGTCTGAGTGACAGAGCAAGACTCTGTCTCAAAAAAATTAAAAAAAAAAAAAGGTTGGGTGTGGTGGCTCACACCTGTAATCCCAGCACTTTGGGAGACCGACACAGGCAGATCATGAGGTCAGGAGATCAAGACCATCCTGGCCAACATGGTGACACCCTGTCTTTACTAAAAATACAAAAATTAGCTGGATGTGGTGGCAGGCACCTGTAGTCCCAGCTACTCAGGAAGCTGAGGCAGGAGAATCACTTGAACCCATGACGCGGAAGTTGCAGTGAGCCAAGATCATGCTACTGCACTCCAGCCTGGGTGTCAGAACGAGACTCTGTCTCAAAATAATAATAATAAATTAATTAATTTTAAAAGGCTGGGTGTGGTGGCTCATGCCTGTAATTCCAGCACTATGGGAGGCCAAGGTGAGTGGATCATTTCAGCTCAGAAGTTCAAGACCAGCCTGGCTAACATGGTGAAACCCTGTCTCTACTAAAAACACAAAAATTAACCAGACAGTAGTGGTGCATGCCTGTAATCCCAGCTACTAGGGAGGCTGAGGCAGAGGCACGAGAATCACTTGAGCCTGGAAGGTGGAGTTTGCAGTAAGCCGAGATCGTGCCACTGCACTCCAGTATAGGGGACAGAGTGAGACCCTGTATCAAAAAAAAAAAGAAAGAAAGAAAAGAAAACAATTCCATTTATAATAGCACCAAAAAATAAAATACTGAGCAATAAATTTAACCAAAGAGAGATAAAGCTTATACTCTGAAAACTGTAGAACAATGCCAAAGAAATTAAAGGCAGCCTGAATAAACAGCCATCCTGCGCTCACGGGCTGGCTGACTCCACGTGGCTAGGACAGCAGTATTCCTCGAAAAGCTCAATATCCCCATCAGTTTTCCTGGAAACTCAATCCAGTCCCCATCACAGTTCCAGCTGGTGTTTTTGCAGAAATTGACAACCTGACCGTAAAGTTCACGGAAATACAAGGGACCCATCGTGTTTGACCCAGGCTCAAAACAATCTTAACAAGAACAAAGTTAGAGGAGTCATGCTTCCTGATTTCCAAACTTCAGAGCTACAGTGATGAAGAGAGTGGGCACGGAGACTGGAGGGTCCACTGGGAGTCCGGAAGTAAACCCACACACCTGTGGAACTGACTTCAACAAGGGTGTCAGACCACTCAACAGGGAAAGAACAGGCTTTTCAACAAGGGGTGCCGACTATCCACAGGCATAGAAGGAAGGCAGACCTCTTGCTCACACCACAGGAAACACTAACTCAAAGTGGACCAAAGACCTAAATGCAAGAGCCAAAGCTAGAAAACTCTTAGGGAAAAAAAAAACACACAGGTGTAAATCTTTATGACCCTGAATTAGATCATGGTTTCTGGGGGGGGTCTGTTGAGGCCGGGTCTCACTCTGTCACGCAGTCTGCAGCAAAGTGGTACGATCACAGTTCACTCTAGCCTTGAACTCCCGGGCTCAGGCAAGCCTTCTACTTCGCCTGCCTCAGCTGGGACGGCAGGTGCTCACCACAATGCCTGGCTGGTTTTCAAATTCTTTGTAGAGTCAGGGTCTGGCTTTGAGTCCCAGCCTGGTCTCAACCTCCTGTCCTCAAGTGATCCTCCTACCTCAGCCTCCCAAAGTGCTGGACCCACAGGCAGATAATGGTTTTAAAAAACAAGCACAGGAAAAGCACAAACAACCGAAGATAAAACACATCAACTGAACTCAGGTAAAAGAGATCAACCGACAACTTTTGTGCTTCAAAGGACACCATGAAGAAAACAAGATGACAACCCACAGATAGGGGTCTAGTCTCCAGAATACACAAAAACTCTTACAACTCAACAGCAAAAAACAAACAACCCAATTAAAACCAGGTGAAGGGCCATGCGGGGCGGCTCACACCTGCAATCCCAGCACTTTGAGAAGCCAAAGTGGAAGGATGACTTGAGCCCAGGCGTCTGAGACCAGCCTGGACAAGATGGTGAGACCCTATCTCCACAAAAAATTAAAAAATATACACCTGTATTCCCAGCTACTCAGGAGGCTGAAGTGGAAGGATGGCTGGAGCCCAGGAGTTCGAGGTTGCAGTGAGCTATGATGGTCACTGCACTCCAGCCTGGGCAACAAAGTGAGACCCTGTCTCTTAAAAGGAAAAAAAGGTAAAGAATGTCAGTAAACATTTCTCCAAAGATGAGACAGAAATGGCGAATAAGCACATACAAAGGTGCTCAGGATCACTGATCACTAGGGAAATTAAACCCACAGGCGTTCCCACTTCACATCCACCAGTGAGGACACTGTCACAAGGACACATACGAGACTGGATGGTCCACTTGGAGACCAGAAATAAACCCACACACCTGTGGGCAGCGGACTTCAACAAGGGTGTAACCTCAGCACTCTGAGAAGCCAAAGTGGGGGGATGACTTGAAGCCCAAGTCGGCCATGATGAAAAGGACAGAAAGTAAGTGCCGGCAAGAACATGTGAAAACCAGACTCCCTGGACAACACTGCTGAGAATGTACAACGGTAATGCTGCTTTAAAAGCATGCGTTGGGGCTGGGCACAGGGATTCATGCCTTTACTCCCAGCACTCTGGGATCACTGGAGGTTAGGAGTTCAAGACCAGCCTGACCAACATGATGAAAGCCTGTCTCCACTAAAAAGACAAGTTAGCCAGGCATGTGGCGGGCGCTTGTAACCCTGGCTACTCAGGAGGCTAAAGCAGGAGCCCGCTTGAACCTGGGAGGCGGAGGCTGTAGTGAGCTGAGGTCTCACCACTGCCCCCCAGCCTGGGTGACAGAGTGAGACTCCGTCTCAAAGAAACAAAAACAGTTCGTTGGTCTTCAGTAAATTAAACATGAGATTCCCAGGGGAGCCAGAAATTCCACTTCTATCTATGCACCCAGAAGCACTGCCAAGAGCATCCAGACAAATGCAGATAAAGAAACAGTCGTAGCAGCGTGACTCACAACAGCCAAATGGGGCAGCAACAGGCGGACGGATCAGCAAAGCACAGAGTGCGCACGGGACAGGGCACGTCCAGCTGTAAGGAGGAATAAAGCATTAATGCTTGGCACACTGTGGATGGATGCTGAAGACAGGTGACAGGAATGAAACCAGGCACAAAGGAGAAACACTGTGGGATTCTGTTCACAGGAAAGGTCCAGAATGAGCAAATCCACGGAAATAGAAAGCAGGTCAGTGGTTGCCAGGGGCTGGGGGAACGGAGAAGGGGAGCATTGAAAGAAAACCTTCAGACAAATTAAATTCAACAGCGTTTAACTGAGCAAAGACTAATTTGAGAGCTGGGCAGCTCCCAGAAGCAGAACAGGCCGAGCGAGTTCAGGGTGCCACGTGGTCAGACCACATTTATGGAAAGACAAATGTGACAAAATATGAAAAAGAAGAAAAAAGACAAAAAAAGGAAAGTGATGCACAGAAAACAGCCGAGCAGTTCTGTAAAGTCGCAGCAACACTTAACCCTGGGATATTTCACCATAAAATCTCCATTTCTGCCTTCGCTTCAACAGGCCCAGCGTCCTGGAAGGTGTGGCCTGGGTGCCGCCTGCCGACTCAGAATTACATTCCCTGCTGGGCACCGTAATCCCAGCACTTTGGGAGGCCAAGGCAGGCGGATCACGAGGTCAGGAGATCGAGACCATCCTGGCCAACATAGTGAAACCTTGTCTCTACTAAAAATACAAAACAATTATCTGGGCATGGTGGCACACACCTGTAGTCCCAGCTACTTGGGAGGCTGAGGCAGGAGAATTGCTTGAACTCAGGAAGCAGAGACTGCAGTGAGCAGAGATCTTGCCACTGCACTATAGCCTGGGCAACAGTGTGAGACTCCATCTCAAAAAAAAGAATTGCATTTCCAGCTCTCAGCACAGCCAGGATGGCAGAAGAATGCGGAGCAGCATGCAGCAGACACGACCCGGACGGCCCGACACGGGCAGACACAACCAGGAGGGCCTGGTACGGGCAGACACAACCAGAATGGCCTGGCACAGGCAGACACAACCGGGAGGGCCCGGTACAGGCAGACACAACCAGGACGGCACAGCTCCTCACCAGAAATCAGTACACACACTCCGACATGCTGCAGAGAAACCGCCACATTAAACAGCTCCTGCGTTCCAAGACCAGGTGCTCAGTCCATCTACGGACACCATATTTAAAAGGACAGAATCAGCTCAAACTGATCCATCCCACTGAATGGATACACACAGCCTGCCGTCAACCCGTGCATATAACACATTTCTCAAAAGCAAAACCTAACTATTGTTCCATCAGGCTTTTTTCTTTGTTCTTCCGGACACAGAAAGCTATTTACCTGATTATCTGACACACATAAGCAGCATCAGAGGAGACAGCAGAAGGAGGGAAAGTGAATACAGCTGCAGGCCTAATGCCTTGTCAACCTTTTTTGGTTCCAGTCTTTGGAAAAGGTATAGTCATCTTTCTTCAACTATTGTTACCACAGTAACAATCTGACAAAATCAAAAACCAACAAAAAGGACCCCTGGCACACGAGGGAGATGCCAGACCCCCTTGTTACACTTGGGCCCCCACACAAATGTGCAAGAGCTGGATTTCTGCATCTGTCAGAGGCAGCCTGTGTTACCAACCTGTTCCGCAGTCCTGTGAATTCTGACTCTGCTCAAGTGGAAGCAAAGATTGGAAAAAGAACAGGGAGGCAGGTCCCAACTCCACTGCAAAGGCCAGGCTCTCAGGACGAAAGCTGATCTCACCCGTGCCCTCACTCCCCATTCCCTTGCCATCCCGTTTCACCTCCCACTACAAAGAAAAGGGATAGAGAGAACAACCTTACCTGACAGTAAGACTGTCCTGTCCTGGATTTTCTTTTGAAATGGAGAATTTATCTTCTTCTTTCAAGCACTGCTATAGGTCACAAGAGAACAGGGTTACACTGAGGACATTTCTGTGAAATGTCACAATAAACAGAACTTCTGTGAAAACACTAGAATGAACCCCACCACGGCATCCTGCATGTGGCCAGAGGGCGGGCAGACAGACACAACACTCAGGGCAGGAGCCGGCCAGGTCCAGGCCACCCACTCCCCAACTCAAGGCTACTGCCCTTACAGTTTAAGTCTGGCAGCAGCCATCAAGGGATTCCAGGTAACTGGTAACTGATCCTCCCAGGATGGACGAGCATGCGGTCCCCACACCTAACACCCCATACATGACACAGGCAGCGTGCTGGCAGCAGATGCAACCCTCCTGAAATGTGGCATCAATGCACCTAGCGTGAACACAAAGTACGTATTTTTTAATGTATCTAAGTAAATGATCAAAAAAGCTTTTAATACTTGCAAAATACTCATTTAACTCATTTTAAAGGTTCATGAGGCTGAGTGCAGTGGCTCACACTTGTAATCCCAGCACTCTGGGAGGCTGAGGCGGGAGGATTGAGCCTAGATCTAGACCAGCCTGGGCAACATAGGGAGATCCCATCGCTACCGAAAAGAAGAAGAAGAATTAGCCGGGCGTGGTGGCACATGCCAGTAGTCCAGCTACTCAGGAGGCTGAGGCGGGAGGATCACTTGGGCCCAAGAGGTTGAGGCTGCAGTGAGCTATGATCCACCACACTCCAGCCTGGGCAATAAAGCCAGACCCTGTCTCAAAAAAAAAGTTCATGAGTAAAAACAAAAATTAAGAACACAACATACTGAACGTATTGAATATAGTGAATTTGAAAATGAAACATTTGGTATGTAGTATAAGAGCAGATTAAAAATAAAATAAAAACGAAACATGAAGGCCAGGTGTGGTGCCTCATGCCTGTCATCCCAGCACTTTGGGATACTGAGGCAGGGACTGCGTGGGGCAAGGAGTTCAAGATCAGCCAGAGCAACAAAGTGAGACCCTGTTTCTAGAAAAATTAAAAGCATTAGGCCGAGTGAGGTGGCTCATGCCTGAAATCCCAGCACTTTAAGGAGGCTGAGGTGGGCAGATCACCTGAGGTCAGGAGTTCTAGACCAGCCTGGCCAACATGGTGAAGCCCCATCTACTAAAAATACAAAATTAGCCAGGTGTGGTGGTGCATGACTATAGCCCCAACCTCACCATCCTGAGAACCCGGGAGGTGGAGGTCGCAGTGAGCCAAGATTGTGCCATTACACTCCAGCCTGGGTGACAAGAGTGAAACGCCATCTCAAAAAAAAAAAAAGAAAGAAAGAAAAAAAAAGTCGGGTGAAGTGGCTCACGCCTATTATCCCAGCACTTTGGGAGGTCAAGGTGGGCAGATCACGAGGTCAGGAGTTCAAGACCAGCCTGGCCCATATGGTAAAATCCCATCTCTACCCAAAATACAGAAATTAGTCAGGCATGCTGGCACGTGCCTGTAGTCCCAGCTACTCTGGAGGCTGAGGCAGGAGAATCACTTGAACCTGGGAGACGGACATTGCAGCGAGCCGAGATCACACCACTACACTCCAGCCTGGGCAACACAGCAAGACTCTGTCTGTAAATAAAAGGTTCGAACCTTGTCTTCGCCATTGTCCCTGATTTTTCTGTTTGGCTTCTTCACGTGGAGCTGCTTCTCATTTTCCAGTTTTATCTACCAGGACTCTTGCTTTAATCAAAGAGATACGTTCCTGTAACTCCAAAGAAGAAACAGGCATCACCAACGCCAAAATGATGTTTTTGACAGGAAGAAACATCAGCTTCACAGGAGGGCAGAGACCTCACACCCCTTCCAGTCCTCCTCGGTTCCTACCCTAGGCTCCGGTTCACACACCACCTGTGGCCCAGAGAGCTCCTCCCAACCCCCTCTACTGGTGTAGTGATGAGATTAGACCCGAATGTCACAAAATCGGGGCCAGCAGGTGAAGCACCCCCAGTGACAAACACGCAAAGGCTGCCGCTTCTCATCAGTATTGTTACCTCTCGGGCAACTCAGCATCGCTGGGAACTGCTTCAAATCGGGCCCCTGACCATCTCCCATCGCCTCTCTATCTGCAACCCAGTGTCCCCAGCTGCAAGAAAACACACACGTCCCTGAGGCCCTGGGGAGAGCAGCAGGACCGTTCCAGAGGTAAGCCTGGACCCAGGCAGCAGGGACACTGCCGCACCCATGGCTGGAGTGACACGGAAACCACGGCAGCAGCCGAGAGGGCAGGAGAGGCCTCTGTTGGCTCCACCCACCAATGGATGGTGCTTATTCCCGACACCACTAACTACTACACGACCAGGCTCTCTAGAAAGTTTCCGTTAGCCAGTGCCAAACATCTTCCCGGGTCTTTTTTTTTTTTTTTTGAGATGGAGTCTCACTATATCGGCAGGTCAGAGTGCAGTGGTGGGAACTCGGCTCCCTGCAACCTCCACCTCCCAGGTTCAAGTGATTCTCCTGCCTCAGTCTCCCAAGTAGCTGGGACTACAGGCACCCACCACCACACCCAACTAATTTTTTTATTTTTAGTAGACACAGCTGTTTCACCATGTTTGCCAGGATGGTCTCAATCTCTTGATAAGTGATTCGCCCACCTCGGCCTCCCAAAGTGCTGGGATTACAGGCGTGAGCACCGCACCCGGCCCTGCCCAGGTCTTACACGCCATCACATTCACATTTTTTAAATCACTCTTAAGCTTTTTTTTTTTTTTTTTTTTTTTTTTTAAGAGACGGAGTTTCACCACGGCCAGGGTGGTCTCGATCTCCTGACCTCATGATCTGCCTGCCTCGGCCTCCCCAAGTGCTGGGATTACAGGCGTGAGCCACCACGCCCAGCCTAAGTAAAGCATTTTGCTTTTTTTTTTTTTTTTTTTTTTAAGAGACAGGGTCTCACTATGTTGCCCAGGCTGGTCTCAAACCCGAGCTCACACGATCCTCCTGCCTCACCCTCCCAAAGTGCTGGATTACAGGTGTGACTCACTGCACTGGCCCTTAAGTAGACTATTTGGAAGGCTGCATAGAGACTCCCATGAAAGTAGCCAATTCATGGGTTTCAGCTGGGAACTTAGCGCTTTAGATGCGTCAGACCAAAAGGAAAACAGCTGCAAACTGGAGGCGCTGAGGCGGCCGCAAGCAAGGCGATCCAGGAGAAGGGAGGCCGGTCGCAGCCCAGGAGAAGAGAAGGGCGGGGAAAAGGCCGGCTCCATAAGGGAAGGCCCTGGGGCAAGAGCATCCAAAGCAGTCCCTCTGGGGCAGGGGACAGAGCCGGATACTACCAGCCACCGCCATTTCCAGGCCCTCTTCCCGGGCAGCCAGAGTAGCACCGCTGGTCAGGTGCAGGGCCCAAGCAGAAAGTCAGGGGCCAAGGAGGTGATGGGGGTGGGGCGGCGAGGGGAGAGGACACCAAGGGGGAGGGGCCGTAAGGAGGGAGGAGGACAAGGGGGCCTGCAGCGGGGACACCAAAGGAGGGCCCAGGGAGGTGGAGGCAACACTGAGCGCCCGGAGAAGGGGACACGTTGGTGGCGTGGTGTGCAGAGCGGGAGGTACACGGAGGAGTCGCGGAGCAATGGGAAACCTGAGGGGTCGTCACCAACGGCGTGGCCTGGGTCACCCACAGGAAGAGCGCCACCGAGGGCTGGACCTGACCCCTCCCTCCTGGCGGCCCCGCGCCCTCAGGCCGAGTCCCACCTCCTCTGCAGCTCCTCCAGGGCCCACCTGAAGCGACTCCACCACGGAGCCACTCCACCGCAGCTCCGCTGACTAACTTCCCCCAGGTCTGCTCCTAGACGCCGGAAAGGGCCTCGGGCCGCACATGCGCAGCCCCCGCCACGTGCCAGGCCTTGACGCCGCAGGTGCTGCCGGGAAGGGGGAAGGGGGCGGTCTGCGCAGGCACAGAAAAGGCCACGCGGTGGCCACGTGGGGCTTGCGGTGGCCTCGTGGGACTTCTGGTGGCCGAGCTCCGTTGGGTTCTGGATTCCTGCGCTCTGCGGGCCGCGGTGCTGGCGGGCACTCAGGAGGTGGGTGGGTGGCGGCCGGCCTGGGTGGAGAGGTGCTCCTGGACCACTGTGCTGTGGTGGAGCCTTGCCAGATCCTGCGGGACTTTTGCAATCCTGAAGATAAACAGGATCGTATTTTGAGAAAAGTTGACGGAGCAAGGCCTGAGGTGCGAGCTGTCACCGGGTGGCATCTGCCTGGCAGCCTGTATATTGCTTGCGAGAGTCTCCACTTAGCCTGAATGTCGTGCCTGGTTGAAGTGCTGCCAGGCCACACCAGTGGGGTGCAGGACGCACCACATCGGGGTCTGTGGGTCTGGGGTGACGTGGGAGAAACTGAGTCTGGAAAATTGAGCAGATGTGGCCACAATAGCAGAAGGACGAAGGCCCTCAGGCCGAGAGGGAGCTGTGGGGACAAGGGCACAGCGAGTGGCCGCGGATGGCCAGCATGGAGCATGGCTCTCTTCAAACAGGCTCTTCCTGCAGGTGTTTTATCAGAGAGGTGGACCCAGGAAGCACGGTAAGGGAGAAGGGAGTAAGTGTGTTGGGGAGCAGGTGAGTGCCGTGGCCCCTAAAGTAGGCCTCCTGGAGGCCTCTGGGAGAGAACAGGACACAGTTCCCAGTAGATTTGCTTTGGTTTCCAGGGGCTATCTATGCCGCCCCACCTCCACCAACTGCACTTCCAGCAGGCCTGGGCACAGGCCAGCACTGAGGAAAGCCCTGAGGCAGGAAGTTACAGGTGCGGGGGGCGGGGGTGTTGGAGTGCGTGGGAGAGGCAGGGTGCCAAGCGTCAGCTGTGCTGCATGTGTGCTGTGTGCATGTTGGCGCTGGGGAAGGGCCTCGGGTGTGGACACAATGGTGCGGGCACCATGGAGCACCACCCGCACATGATCCTGTGTGCATTGTGGAGAGATGAGGGCACCAGCAGGCACACTGCTGGCAGGGCAGGAGGAAACCGGGCTTGGTCAGGCCAGAGACAGCAGGAGCCTAAAGGACGGCCTGCAGAGGTTGAGGGGAGGCGTCTGATAATTAGTAGGGCATGGAAATGAGAATGAGCAGGTTGAGGATGGTGCCCAGGCTTCCACTTTGGGTGAGTGGCACTGTCTTCTGACCCTAAAGCCCCATCACAGGAAGGAGAACTGCCTGGAAAACATCCACTTGGGGAAGACAGAGGAGCTTACAACAAACACTCCTTCCCTTTACAACCTGGCTATTTTATGATAAGTTTTAGTGTATTTGTTTGAGGTTATTAAAGATGCCATTTTACAGTCTTCTTAACAAATGGACTCAGGCAGATAGCTGTTTTCCTGTTGAGGTGAATGATGGCCAGGCCAGGCGGCCCTCTGTGGAGCAGGCACTGCAGACACTTCGCATACAGATGGCCTCTCATCTACGGTGGCGCTGGGCTTTCTAGAGCCACAGACACTGAACTCATTTTATTCAGAACGCCACAGAAACACTAACCAAAAAAAGATACCATGAAGGCAACATAGATCATGTGCTTCCTAAAAAGCCCACCGTCAGCGTCAGTGCGAACAGAACACCATTACCGCTCAGTCACCGAGATTAAAATTAGTCACACGTGGAAAATAGAAACAGGTTTTCAGAGAGAAGGCGGTTTTGGTTCCACTGAATAATGCCCCTCTTTTGCTTTGTAAATAGATGATCCATATTTCCTGATGATGTATATTTTCAAGGGTAGCTCTGCTAGGTGGTCTCAGATTTGGGGTAAAAGCCTTGGTGTCCGTTGACTGTCTGGGAAGGGCTCAAAAAATGTAAATTGTATCCAAAAACATCTGACGAGGTATTCAGTAGTGACATCAGAGACTCCATTCAGAATGAGTCTCGATTAGGTTCAAATGATTAACAGTCCTTGGAGTTAAGAACTTTTTTCCTGGCCAGGCCTGGTGGTTCATGCCTGTAATCCCAGCATTCTGGGAGGCCGAGGCAGGTAGATCACTAGAGGCCAGAAGTTTGAGAGTAGCCTGGGCAACATGGTGAAACCCCGTCTCTACTAAAAATACAAGAATTAGCCAGCCATGGTGGTGGGCACCTGTAACCCCACCTACTTGGGAAGCTGAGGCAGGAGAATCTCTTGAGCCTGGGAGACGGAGGTTGCGGTGAGCTGAGATCACGGCACTGCACTCCAGCCTGGACAACAAAGCAAGACTCCATCTCAAAGTTAAATTAAATTTAAATTTTTTTTAAAAAAAGAACTTTTTTCTTGTATGTATCACAAGACTTCAGCAAGACACAGTCCCCATCCGAGCCACCCTGGCGCTGGCCCTTGCCCCTCTCCTTCCCTGAAAGCCCTGGTCCAGCCCAGCCTTCAGCCTCCTGAGTGTCCATGTAACTGGGCTGGGCCTCAGCGCCTGTTCTCAGCCCATCCTGCCTGTGTCTCCTCCCTGGCCACTGTGGGCAGAGGCCTGGCTTCCTGTGTCACTGACATGAAGACAATCTGCAGAGGTGCCCCACACTCCCAGCACCGCATCTGTCCCGACTGTGCCCCTGCCCCATCCCACCCCGCTCCCCTCCGTCTTCCCTCCTGTTACTATGGTGGAACTCTTCACGCCCGGTAAAGGCCAGCCACCCGTCAGTCCTCCCCTGGCCCCACAACCAGTACTGCACCTGCCTCAGAATTCAGGTGTCCTCACTCCCTGCGTCCATCTCTGCCCCTCTCATGCACGTCGATCCTCATTAAAGCACTTTCATTGTCTGGCTGGGCACAATGGCTCACACCTGTAATCTCAAAACTTGAGGCGCAACACTTCAGCCCAGGAGTTCCAGACCTGCCTGGGCAACATGGGGACACCCTGTCTCTACAAAAAATACAAAAATTAGCCAGGCATGCTGGCACATGCCTGTAATCCCAGCTTGGGAGGCTGAGGCAGGAGGATTGCTTCAGACCAGGAGTTCAAAACTGCAGTGAGCCGTGATCACACCACTGCACTCCAGCCTAGACAACAGAGTGAGACAGCCTGTCTCAAAAAGAAAGTCTCACTCTCACATCCCACTGAGACCACTTCCATCAGGGTGTCCACCAGCCCCCTCACACTGGGCAGTCCTGCTGTCAGTGGCAATGGATGGTGCATGCACTGGTTACTGGCTTCCTTTGGAACTGATTCCTCCCTGGGTTCCTGGGGTCACGCAGCCCTGTTTCTGCTGCCCTCCTCCTTAGGCCCACTATCATGAACTGTCCTGGCGCTCTCCCCACAGCTGTATAGCAAAGGTCTACAGCATGGACCTTGGCCTCCAGCCTGGCCCCTGAGCTGGAGACTCGGCAGCCTTCAGGACGTCTCCCCTGACATGCCCCAGCCCAGCATCCCAAACCCAAGGATCTGTCTGCTGAAGCCTCTTCCTCCCAAACCGTCCCCATCTGCTGGTCACACCATCCTTCTCTGAGCTGCTAAGGCCAAATTTGCGTCTGAGCCTCTACACCCCTTCCGCCCGCTGCCCACGTGGAACCCACCAGTAACCCTCACACACACTCCAGTTTCACTGCTCCATGGCAGTGGTCCCTCCACACCAGGCTGGACTGCAGAAGGCCGTGGATGGCTTCATTTGTATAAAACACGCCGCAGATGCGTCCACCTGCCAGGATCTGTGCCCAGTAAGTGCCCACTGCCAACACCCAGCCCACTGCACCTGGGGCACCCTCACTAAGGCGCTGTCCTAAAGATGAAACTGGCAACCAGAAGAGAGCCCATGCCAGGCGACTCTGCCACATTTAGGACAATAATTTGTTCCCCTTCCCCGTATCCTTTTCCCTTTATTTGCCAGAAAAGAGCAGCTCCCCAGAGGCCAGTGGCCAAGCACGGACGTCTCTCTCCCTCCCCAAGTGCACACTCAGCACCTCAGCGTCCTGGAGGGACAGGAGCACACAGCCTGGGAAGGTCCCAGAGCAAGCTGGGTGCTCCTTGCTTACAGAGGCCCCACCACCAGGGCCTGGCAGGGCACCCCGAAGAAGAGGGCTTTAAACAGCTCTCTCTGTCCCCATGTGGCTTCCACCATGCTCCCTGCAAGCTAATGTTCTCAGTGGCTTTTTCTTTTTAATGACTCTCAACTTGTCTTCAAATAAGAATAAATACGCATGTCTGTTCTCTGGGGCTTTAGGCAGCCCCGAGCTGACCCCGTGACAGGGGTGGGATTGATGGGCCGTCTCGCCAGGAAGGCAGGTGCATCTTTTACTAAAGGTGGTTTCTGAATGATGAATGTCTTTCTCACGAACACAGAAGTGTTGATGGTATTTACAAACGATTCATTCTCACGTTCTGTTGATTCTGCCCCAGCCGTCCCTTGTGATGCCTCCACAGATGATGCATCGGTGGCTATTACCACCATTGATGAAGGCTTCCTGGTCGCCCCGTGGTACCTGTTACTCCATTCATCACAGGCGAGTGCCCGCATGCAGCAGGAGAGCATGTTCCCTCAGGCCTTATGGTCATTTATTCTTCAGTTTATGTGGGTTTGTGCACCTTCTAATACAGCTGCAAGCCCAGACTCCAAGGTCTAGAAGGCCACAGCTGTGGTCAAATACATGAGCAGTTAAATGCTTTGGGTTTAGCCAATCCTCCAAAGCCTACCTACTCTGCTCCTCATCTTAAAAAAAAAACGCCAATGTGCATACAGGTGGCAGCAACCCCAACTAATGAAGCTTCAAACCAGATGGAAAGTGGAGGGAGCAGCAGCGCTCTCATCCACTTTTAGGGCTGACCTGAAAGACCCCAGACCCGAATGCCCAGCACCCACTGGGCAAGGGGCTCAGTCCCCAGCATGCCCTAATGCGAGCCAAGCAGGGAATTTCTGCTTTCTCCAGATTTCTGTCTAGACCACATCCTCCTGCT